GGGGCCAATCAGAATTTTTACTACCGGTTCTCCGAACTACTGAAAATTTCTGCTACCAGTTCTCCAGAACTGGTCAGAACCTGCTGAAACCCACCTCTGGCTTTATCCTTTCAACATTCTTCATCACTAGAACCCAATCCCACCTTGAGTAAGATGCTATATACCAGTGGGGAAATCCACTGGTATATAGCATCTGATATATTTTTTTTTACTACCAGTTCTGTGGGCGTGGCTTGGTGGGCGTGGCTTGGTGGGCATGGCAGGGGAAGGATATTGCAAAAGCTCCATTCCCACCCCACTCTGGAGCCAGCCAGAGATGGTATTTGGTGGTTCTCCAAACTACACAAAATTTCCGCTAACAGTTCTCCAGAACCTGTCAGAACTTACTGGATTTCACCCCTGCTATATACTTTCTTTTGAAGAAACAGAATTCTATTGTTAGAGTGGATAGATTGGTTAAGAAGGATTTGCTTTTGTTCTTTAGTATTATCTGTCATTTGCCTCTTTCAAACTTTTGTTCTATTTCTATCTGTATTTGTACTTTATTTCTTTTTAATATTCACCCTCCCCACCGCCTACTTGCAATCAGAGACTCTATTTACTACTATTTTTAAAAGAAAATGCTTTGTGGATTCTAATTATTCCTTTACAGATTAGCATATTTATATTTGTGCATATGTTGCAGGTGCCTTCACAATCAAGCTTACAAATATAAGGCACTTCATATAGAATATTTCCATGACATTAGAGAGATCTAATTTTACATCTATTAAAAGGTAAAATATACATATATGTTTGTTTGTAGAATGTTTACTAAGCGACCCAACTTCACTCTAGCAAAGTTCAAGTGAACTATAAGGAAAAGCACTTCACAGAAAGCTTTCTTTCTACAAGACCTTTAGAATATACAATTTAAATTCCCAATTTCTTGACAATTAGGACTTATGTCAATAACTATGTTAATGTTATTGTTATGTTAATGTTTAAAACTTTTGCACCATCCAACTAAACTGAAAGTGTATATAGCTTGTTTCCTTGCATGAAATTTCTAGCATGAAGTACAGGAAATATCAATTCAATAGAATGCTATAGTGTGATAATTCTCAGTGTGGGGCCAGATCAGTGATTGCTGCTTTAGTCTGAAATGTTACATTCTATATAATCTCTTCTACTGGGATGAAAGTTAGATGGTTGGGTTTTGCTGCTGTATTTTCTTTTAATTTCCTCTTCCTTTTTTCTGTACCTATTCTCTTTCTAGTATTCTTTCTTTGCTGGCTTTTATGATATTATTCCCAAAACTGTAACTTAATTTACCATGACTGCATGGTAATAAAATACAAATATATCAAATATAAACATTGATACCAGTAGAAGTATATGCAGTTAGGAAAAAATGTTGATTGGTGACTTTTGATGTCACTTGGTTCATGATAACCTGTTTTGCAATTGGATGGGGAGCAAAAGGCTTCATCTTAAGTCAAGTAAGACAGATTGGCTCTGAATTTTTGGATCTCTTGAACATCTGAATGGGTTGGCACTGACCCAAACTGACCCAGTGCACAATATGCCCCACCCCAGACTTGCAACTCCTGGTCAAGCAGCTGATGGAAGCCATGACTTAGGAGGGCCATATTGTACATTAGTTGTGCCCGTTCCTAGTCCAGAGGGTCCTACTCATGGTCATTTATTTATTTATTTTTATGTCCTTGTGACCTCCAGACTGGGCTATTGTAATACATTTTCTATGAGGTTGTCCTTGAAGAATATTTGGAAACTAGAACTGGAACAGAATGTGGCAGTGCAGGCAATTAATGACACTGTTTATTCAGCATATGTGTGCATTACTCCAGAGCTGCATTGCCTTCCAGCGTGCTTCTTAAACTGCTGGTTGTCATCTTTAAAGCCCTTTATGGCTTGGGACTGGGTTACTTACAGGACCAGTTATCTCTTTCTCACTTAGTCAATCCAGCTGGAGAGGTGGGTTCCTCCTACTGTTGACTATAGGATGTCAATTGATGGGGACTAGAAGATGCCTGCCCTTTGGAACATCATCTCCGCTGATATTAAATTGAATCCATACCTGACCTTGTTGACCTTTTATAAGTCCTTGATTTTTTTGTTTTGTTCCTGAGCCTTGAGTTCTAGGTATATGACATAGTCTTTGTCCTGGCTGTGTTGACAATTATTTGAATGATGCCTAGCTGTTTGTGTGCTATATACTCTCTCTCTGTCTCTGTCTCTGTCTCTGTCTCTGTCTCTGTCTCTGTCTCTGTCTCTGTCTCTCTCTCTCTCTCTCTCTGTGTGTGTGTGTGTGTGTGTGTGTGTGTGTGTGTGTGTACACGCAGACATAATGTAGTTTATTGTAAGCCACCTAGAGTAACAGGCACTATGTGATATGGTTATATAAATCAAACAAATAAAAATAAATATTGTTAATTTGGGAATGCAGAAACCCATAGAAACCATGATAATGGCAAAATTACATATAGTTATTCAATTGCATCATGGCGTCTGACACAGTTATGCCATGTCATCTGCAACATGACATCTTGATGCCCATGTTGTTCTTCGCATCCTTCTTGTTCCTCCTGTGAATTCATTTGATAATGCTCCACCCATGAAGTTAGCAATCCTGGTTAACCTTAAATCTCATTACTGACTCTCAGATTAATCTATTTTATAGAGCTATTCAGAGGAAAAGAATATAATTCCATAGATGCTGAGTCCCAGATCTGTGCAAAGTATTTGAAGAAGAGCTTTGTAGCAACCATCATCAAAATGTTAAGGTAGCCATAGCATCAATTGGTGCAGCTGTTTCAATGTTTGCAACAGCTGCTTCCTAAGTTCTCTGGGTGTTTTAAAATGAGCATATACAGCACATCCTTCCACTAGGATTGTTGGTGAAGCACAGCTATGCATGCACATATTACAGGGGTGTACTGGAAAGGCCTTTGAAGCAATTGTGCTGAACCCAGGAAGAGGGAAGGGAGCAATAATCCATTAAGGGAGAAGAGAATATTCAGTCTTGGGAAAGTGTGAGAAGTAAACTCAAAATAAACCTGTCTTGATTCTCTTTGGCATATAGCAAATGTGGCAGATAGAAACCTGATAAGCTTTCAAGGTGTTCAAGACCTTTCAAGACCTTCCCGAGATCCCAGCTTCTCCTCTTTCTTGACTTTGTCTACCTCAAAGTGCTGATAACCATTTATGTCAGGAGCTTCATTTTTGCCTGTGCTAAGTGTACAAGGCACTTTTTAATACTTTGCATGTTTCTACTAAGCATGCTTGTGACAAATTTTAATAAAACACATTGGGAAGCTTGCTGCATTTGCTTTCTCCATTGGAAATCTTCAGTAGATGTTCAGCAGAGTTACGTAGGCAGCAGCTAGTCTGATCTTGGCCACGGCATTCAGTCATGATCCTAGTCTAAATATGCAGTGCATTAAAAATAAAATTAAAACAAGGTTCATCCAAAGGGATCTAGCTCATTTGAAACACTGAGTTTATAATCAAGCTTATCTAATATGCCAAAATAAAATACAATAACCTCAAACTGAGGTTGAACTGAACAAAAACATGGATTATAAATCTATCAAATAATTCTTTAAGCAATATGTGATCAGATTTTGGGGAAAATAACTGCTGAAGACAGCTTCACCGTGTCCTTATTTTGCCATCAATAATATTGCTTATGTTAAGTCCATAAAAAAACTGCATTAGGTATGTTAAAGATTTAGCATTTTTCAACTTTCTTCCTCTGAATAACAACTAATCCAAGCAGCTTAAAATATTAAGTATGTATATGTTAAGTAGATTTATGTATGTACATGTTCCATTTCAAACCCTCTCTCTTACCTTCTTTTAATAAAACAACCCGTTATTTAAATATATTCAAAATAAAATTATAATCTTATAAATAGTTTCAGCTTACAAGCTGAAGCTAAAGCATGAAAGAACCTGATGGAAGAGACTCTGAAGTCAGAGTTTTTAATTTGGCTAAGGATGTCTAAGGATGTTTGGGGTTTTTTTTTTTTCAACTTTTCATTCCAATAGGTCATTTTGTTTGTATGAGCTTGGAATAACACTAACTGGCATACAACCTTGGCTTGCTTATTTAATATTTATTCTTGTCCTATCATCTGTGATCAAGTTTATTTTATCTATTCATGTGATCAGGGGACCAGAAGACCTCCAAGATCCCTTACAACTCTGTTATTCTGTTAAATTAATTTTGCAAAATGTTAAAGAAACCTTACTTTGAAATTCTATCTTTTGAGCTCTTTTCACTAGGTTTAGTGAAAGAAATAGAAATCTTCCTTATAAAACAGAGGAAAATAAAGAAATGTTTTTATCCTCTACTGTTCTAATAAGCTATATTGGGCTAGACCACACAATTTTAGGCCAATTACACTTGCTGTATCTCATATGTGATTTCTGTTATCTTTTCAATGTTTCTGTATTTCAAAGACTTACACAAAGTAATTCTTCAAAATATTTCAATCCTTGTTTGGTCTTTGAAATATTTCAATCCTTGTTCAGTCTTCCACACTCACTGGAACTTGGTCTTCAGCTTGTACCCAAATTTTAATCCACTTTTCCACAAAACGAGTAATTCTGCATGGAGGGATAGCTTTCAATAGCTCTATTTATCCCTCCACACCCAAAAAAGTATTCTCTCTTTAATGAACAGAAAGTCAGTATAATGAATTCTCAAGTGCACTAAGGAAGAAACAATTAGTAGCTCTGATTATGTTCTATGACATTTTGGCTTTGCAGTATTAATATATTGCAACAACTCTGGATTTTTCCTTGTTTCAGAAAATCAAATCATAAAACACATGAAAGAAAGGGGAAGTCTGTTGCATACAACTTCAAAATAGATGTCATTCTCTTTCTTCATTGTACTAGGCTAGAATATTGAATTATGGTCTGTTAGAAGCCAATTCTTCATCATGTATGTCAACTCATACAATACAAGGAGAAATGGAACAAGATGGCGGTTACAGTGGCAAGATGCAAATTTATTTGGGCAAAAGTAATAGATGCACAATATCAAGCATGCTCAGGTTTGTGCCAAGAAAACGGTTACGGATGAGAAATGGATGGGATGAGCTTTTGCATCATACATGATTACGTTCCTCTGAACTTCATTAAAAAAGTCCTTTTGTTCTAGGCATGGTTTCTTAGCCGCTGCTAAGAAAGAATACAGACCATACTGCTGGAGTAAACATACCCAGGCCCAAACAATAACACACATCACAGCAGCTGTCTCCCGAGAACACTATATTCCTTTTGGGGGAAAAAAGAAAAGAAAAATCAGTAAAAGAATTAGATTGGGAATTGGGGTAGTGACAGAGACAATGTAACTGCAGGCACCTATTTGGAAAGGAAGGAACGTTTTATTATATTTTTAAGTAAAATGGTTTGTGCTTCCTATTTCATTTTACTCAATGTTTGGCTTTTTTTTAAAAAAGCAATGAATAATGTTGCCACTGTTTTTTTTTTAATGAGTTTTTTTTTCTCCTGCGTCCCTGCCTGAAGCCAAAAAGAAGTTGAGCTGATTTCTCCCCCTAAAAATGCAACTGAAAAGGGATGGCGGGGAATGGGGTGGGGGACAGACAGAGAGTGGGGAGGGAAAGAGAATACATTTTTGACTGGTATTCTCTGCAGTAGACCATAATGAGGCAAAACAGGATCCCACTGAGAAGAATCAGCATCTGTTTTTAATGTTATTTTAACTGGGGGATGTGAACAGAACACACTACTGTGTTGAGATAGCGGAAAAACAAAAGGAGGGAAAAAATATGAATGTTTAATTCATGGGAAAAACAAAACGATGCCATGAATGCCACAGAAATGGATGTTGCTGAATGGCCTTTGTACAGCAGAGGTAGATCAAGGTATATAACAAACTGTTTACTGACCATTTACATGTTAAGATCAGGAAAAAAAAGTGGTCAGTTGAACAAGAGCTCCCCCTAAGGGTTTTTTTCACACGGCTCTCACTGAAGCCCTTCTAGTGCTGTGGCTCTGTACAGATTTCGCTGCGCGGATTTTGCAAGACGAGATCAGATTTTCTTTGAAAATTTACATTCCGTCATTGAATAAAGCTTTCCCTTTCCCCATCCTACCTATTTTCAGCGCATTCCCACAATATGTATCAGAAAATGTACTCATCCGGGAGGGGGGGAAACCCCCACCTCACAATGCGTGGTGCTTTATGCCATGTAGATACCTACAGGTGTACACGCGCAGTGGAAAGGAGGGAAAATATAAGGAAAGAAACTGAAGCTGAAGAATTCTGCGTTTACGTGCTGTTTTGTTTTGTTTTGTATTTGCACAGGTCATTTTAAGATCCTCATTCTCAGTCATAGCAAAACACTATCAAAACAAGAAGTCTTGCAAAATAGTTCAGATTATACATCTTAACAAATGCATTAGTTTAATCTGCTAAAGCAGTAGGGTTGTTTCTCTAGGTTGTCTTTTTTTTTTCCCAGAACTTCACAAATCATAGAACATGAATAAAAATGCATATCAACACTGCAGTGAGGAACAGAAACATTTCTTGAAATGGGCAAGGAATTATTATTTTTTTTAATGCAAGAAGTAAGAGAATATTTCCTATCTTTTTTCCTTCATCTCTCAGCTACACCGCAAACAGCTCTAAAGTGCACTTTCCAAGTGTAGTTCGAGAATAGGAAGGAATGAAAAGTTTTTGTTTTGTTTTGTTTTTTTAAAAAACAGCCCTTATTAACTTTTCCTTCCATTTATTCTAGTGTAAACTCTAAAAAGCCATTTTAAAAAGCAAGATCCCATCCACTCAGCAGGTGATATGGTCCTATAAAAAGAGCAATGAAAAAGGCAATTGGATTATCTTCTCCCATCAACCCCTCACAATACTTGACTACTTATAGCCCAGCATCTTAAATTTTATTGCACACTCATGAAAATATCCTTTAAAAAAGAAAAAAAAATGACTTCTTTTCCCAGCTGCACTAACTTAATTTGATCTCCTCCCCACCCTACCTTACTTCCAAAGATTTAATTGTTGCCTTGAGGAGCAGAAACTATTTCGCAGGCTGTAGGAACCATATCAGCATAACACACAACAGTGCATTCATTTTAAAATGGTCATCTGCTTGGTTGGGCAAGTGATTCCACAAGAGATGTAGCCCAATATTTATGTTCAGAGTATGTACACTCACATGCAATGACCATATTACCTATGCTTGATAGGGTACTTGGGTTCTTCACAGCCTTCGTGATATCTCTAGATATCCTCAGAATCAAACAGGGGTAAAAAAAAAATTCTTTTTTTTTTTCATAAACCTTTTGGTTTTCGTAGATGGTATTACCATGTGGTACAGAGGTGATAATAGAGGAATAAAAACCGTAATTCACAATGAATGCCAAACTTTTCCCACCAGTGTGTAGGTCTCTCCTCCCCTCTCATCACTTCACTGAGCTCTTGGCTTGGTTTCACACATGGTGCTCTAGATCAGGCCACTCCTGTTCAACTGACCAGTGAGAAAGGACTAAACTTTTTGAAAATGGGCCTTGGAGCAACAGTTTGTTATAGATTTCTTTATATTAAGGTTTCATTGTCAGATCCCACTTTCAAGGAGAGTATCCATTAATTGTGCTCTCCTCCTCGCCCCTCCCTTACTTTGGATTTCTCCAGTCAGATGACTTGTGTAGCAGTGGCAGAGGTGCGTTGGACCGCACACCCATTCATTGTGATTACACCAAAGGAAAGCAAGCAGGAATGGTTTGCTCTGGGGCATTGAAGCAGGGGAAAATATAATGGGGAAAAGAGAACTGGTTTTGTGGAGAGGAGGGCTGGGAGGGGAGGGCTGGTTTTCACTGTTTTGTTTTTAAAAAAATCTTTTGCCATGGAACCACAGCAGTTCTTTCTTCTAATAGAAACTGACAAGACATAAAAGACCAAACTATTTGATGAGCACACACAATGACTAGAAATAGATAAAGACAGTGAAAAGACTTAGTTTAGCTCTGAGAAACTGTCTGAAAAATAAAATCCTGTATTAACAAGTGCAAAACAAACCAAAAAAAGAAACTCCAAACATTAAAACACAGTGTATAAAATGGTGTGAGAAATTTAAGTCACCAGACAGCCTTTTAGTCAATAAAAAGCTGTATAGGATGTGTCCTTGTTTGGATAGTGGCCCGTCGGTTGAGTTTTACCCAGAAGGCTTTTGGAGGAGTGAACAGAGGGCAAAAAGGTCCAGTCTTTTGGGTCTGACTGCCATATGGGTGGGCCTGCTGTGTGCCTGTAGGAGGAGATGGATCAGGTCTCTTATTCCTCATTGGTGGAATTATCTTCAAAATTTGTTATGCCTCCAAAGCCCAGTTCTGTTGAATTCTGTGCTGCTGAGACAGTGAGTACTGTATGTAAGAGAATTAATACAAGAACACACAGTTTGAGTCTGCTGTTACACAGTCTTGATGCTGATGAAACTGTGAGTGATGTCCGGTGACACATCATTGAGTCACTTGTTTTTATAGTCCCTTTGGATTGGTTATCGGATAAGAGTCCCCATCTGACATCACAGCATTCTGGTTCTGCATTGGTTGGGTAATTGTCATAGAGCCCTGCAGGAAAGAAAAAGAGCAACATATTAATAGTCTTTTATAAAGAAAAGAAAAATGGATATAACCTTCCTGGTAGTCAAATATAATGTATAAATATTTAGAATCTATGGCTGTGATTACATTGCTTCTCTTGTGTCAGAAGTCATTCCAGACAATCTAAGTGGAAAAGCAGCATATATTAAGATTAATTAATGGTAATAACATTAGCAAATATTTAACAAAAGCTTCTCTGAACAAATTTACTATTCCCCCAAACCATAAATATCTAAATGAAACTTACTTATGGACACTTGGAACAACTTTTTGTCCTCGATCATGCTCCCCAATTCTGTGATTTTTACAATTTCCTTTCTTGCCTCATGATACTATTACAAAACACCTTTCAATACTTTCACTTTGAAGCATCTTATTGTTTGGTGAGTCACAGATTCATATTAGAGGTTCTTTTGTAACAGATTCAGTCCTGATTACTTTACTTAGGAACTATAGGAACTATAGTTGGAACCTTCACTTCCAAATTTGAATGCTTCCCATTCACAACTCAAATGTAATTTGTTATGCATGAAATGCTTGCTGTTCTCCACTAGATGTCCCCAGTCACCTATTCTAAATAACAAAATACATCCGCAATAGCCCATGCATGGTTCCCAGAATTTAAAGCATAAACAAGAAATCTCTACAATGCTTTGTACGTTTTATAAGTAGAATAATGCTGATTGGCTCCAAGGAACATGTGACATCTATGTTTTGTTGTTTGTTGTCTAAATTCAGGAAGCAGCTTTAATTTGAAATATAATACTTGGGTCTAAGTCAAGATTCTGCAAACATCACTCAGGGCAGAGGCTGTGGTTTGATATTCCTTTGCTTGGTGTCCCTTCCTCTTTTTTGGGGGGGGGAGTTATCTAGTCTAGAGGCTCCAAATAAATAGGATCAAGAGTCTCCAGGTCACTTTCCTCATTGATCACTTTCTCCAGCTGAATGATGAATTCATTAACAACACAGAGAAACAGTTAAGACTACCACATCTTAGATGATCACCAAAAGACAGCAAGGAGAAGTCTCTGAATTGCTTTGCAGCTAAGTCATTGGTCAAACTAGATTGGCAGCCAACACAGAACTGATGCAGTTCAATCTTTATAGGACCTGGAGAACTGTATAATACTCGAACTGTTTGGCAGAAGAGTTTCTGCTGAGAAGACGCTGCAAAGGAGAAGACTCTTGAGAAGACTCAAACATTCCTTCAGTTTTCATTTTTTACAAAATACACAGAAATTAATGCCTTGTAATATTTCCCCAGCTTTTATTATCCTGGCTACTATAGCTAAAGACCTGTGGTAGGTTCAGAAACCCATCAACATTATATTTTTCATTAAAATTTAACAATGGTGCAATAACATTATCATCTCATGTACTATCCTCTACAATCTACAGAGTAGCAACCCAAGTGGTTATTGAGAACTTTTGAATGATCTCTGAAGGCCAATGACTTTCCATATGGGGAATTGGCTTGCTCTTTTAGTTAAGCTATCTCCCTGATAAAAGACATTCCATCTAAATAGCTTTCAATATCAGGGATTGTTTATTTCAATAATGCAAAACAGTAGGTTACTTTTGGTCCACATACATTAAATTCTGTATTGCAAACTTTTTGTCTGTGTGTTTAAGATCTAACATTAAAGCAACATATTTTTAAAATAATTAAAAGCAGAGTTTTAATGCCCAAATTAATGGCATTCACAACCATCCTATTAGGGATTTGCTATATGAGAAATAAATAGTAATAGGGGAAAAAAGGTTGCATTTTGAAAAAGCAAGTGCATTTTATCATCTTTAGGATTTTATCTATTCCAAATAAAAAGGAGAAGAGTTTTGTCTCTACCAAGCAGGGCATTATAGCAATCTGAGATTTGTTTGAGATATTTTGTTGTTCTCATTCTGCAGAAATTCAGAAAAGGTAAATAGCTCACTAGCCATTCACAGTAACAGAGTTGGAAGGGACCTTTGAGGTTATCTAGTCCAGCCCCTTGCTCACGCAGGAGACCTGTATTAGGGATTTGAACCGCTGAACTGCCGACCTTTCTGATCGACAAGCTCAGTGTCTTAGCCACTGAGCCACCTAGTCAAGCTCAAGTTCAGAGTTTCAGGGTCTTTCACAAATCGGAACCATTGGAGACAATGATATCTGGGACAATAAAGTAGTGGTATAATCTGGACAATGTTTTGAACTATATTCATTTCTACCCTCTGATATTATCAACAGAGAAGCTGATGTCCTGTTCAAAGACACTAATATGAACAATATCAAGAAAAATAGCATTCCTGATAAAGAGTCACCCGTGTTCTGATAATCAAGTTTGCCTTCAATCAAGCTATATGATTTGTGAGTTGGGACCAGGAATTACTACAAAAAGAACATCTTTGAGGTTTCACAGACTGCAAATGCATAATTCCTTTTTTATTTATGGATTTCTATCCTGTCTTTGATTTTGCATTATTTCACAATATATGTCAACCTGGAAATGTATTGTTTGACTAGGATTTTTATTAATTTAATACACTAATAAACATATATATGGGTTAGTATGGATTATTTAATAAAATTATTTTGCTCATAAATCAACCATTTATCATTTAACAGCTAGGCCAGCATTTTCCAAAGAGCATTTTCCAGATATATTAGGTGATATTCCCATCTTCTAAGCCATCCAAATATCATAGTATTGGGGATCATGGAATTTATAGATGGCATTAGATTTGAAGAGCTGAAGAAGCTTCTTGGATGAGAAGCAAAACATCTTCAAAGAAAAACCAGAAAGTCCAGTTGCCCCTTGAAAAAGCACCTTTGGGACAACCATGACCTGGATGACTGAGAATCTCCATAGACATTTAGATTTGAAGAGGTTAAAGTTATCATTACTAGTCAAAGTGCAGTCTTTCTTTCTTTCTCTTATCTTTATCTGTTCAGTTGCCTAGTCAGCAAACCATGATAATGCCAAAATATTACATTTTTGTGTAATGTGTATAACATAATCACCAAAAATCTGTGAATATGTTCTTTTTTTTTTTTAATTTGATTTATATGCCGCCCTTCTCCGGAGACTCAGGGCGGCTTACAATGCGTTAAGCAATAGCCTTCATACTTTTGTATATTTATACAAAGTCAGCTTATTGCCCCCACAAACTGGGTCCTCAATTTACCTACCTTAGAAAGGATGGAAGGCTGAGTCAACCTTGAGCCTGGGGAGATTCGAACTTGCAGTAATTGCAGGCAGCTGAATGTTAATAACAGGCTATTAGTCTGCTGCGCCACCAGGCTCTTTTTAAGGTTCTTGTGTCAGGACATATGATACAAATTCTAACTTGTGGAAAATGTGTGATTGAAAATCAATACACATCAGTCAGCATTGATCCCCTGTGATCCTCTGTGGATGGGCCAGTGCTCCTAGATTTCTGAGCATTTATATGAGATTCCCCTGCATGATACCATAGTATCCGGGGTGAAAATTTTGGACCCTTTTGTTTAGTGAAAGTTGAATGCTTGGGTTGACTAACATTACTAACTTTAATCCTCTTGCTTCCCTGGGCAGACCAGAAGGAAGAGGCATGGTGCCCAGGCCACAAAATGTTTAATATTCCTGTTAATTCCAAAATATTTTTATGAAGACCCAGAAACACAGTATTAGCATATAAAATTCCCTACTCAAAAAATCCCAGTTGATCTTTAAAAATGAAGAATTTATTCGCACGGCATATCCATATTTAATTTTGTATTGATATTGTAGGCATATATCAAAATTAATAGTCATGTCAAAAGCAAGAATGAGAATGGATGCTTCATATTCAATAATTATTCTGTCAGAAGTATTAAACCACACCCTAGAATTTCTGTTGTCCATATTCATGTGTATGCACGCATACGCATGTATGCATGTTCAAATCAGTATTAGCTCTTGGTGACTGCTTGGACTAGGCCCTGCAAGCTTTCTTGCCAAGGGTTTTCAGAAGTGATTTGTCAGTGTCTCCTTCCTAGGGCTGAGAGAGAAGGATTGGCCCAAGGTCACCCAGCTGGCTTTGTGCCAAACATGAGACTAAAACTCAATATCTGGTTTATAGCTTGATGCCTTAACCCAGGGGTGTCAAACTCAAGGTCTGTGGGCCGGATCCAACCTGTGGGGTGCTTAGATCTGACCTGTGGGGCTGCTTTGAAAACAGCAAAGGACCAGCCCAGGATGCCTCTGCCAACGAAAATGGAGCTTGGGAGGGCCACGCACTACATCCCTCTGCCAGTGAAAATGGAGCTCGAGAGGGCCATTTCAGCTGCGACAGCCTCCTGCAAACCTCTGCCAGCGAAAACGGAGCTTGGGAGGGCCGTTTCAGCTGCGACAGTCTCCTGCAACCCTCTGCCAGCGAAAACAGGGAGAGCTGTGCACGGCCCTCTCAAGCTCTGTTTTCGCTGGCGGAGGGTTCAGACCACCACAGGTGCCCTGACATGTTACATTGAATTGGCCATGGCCCCATGCTCCCTCCTGAGCATGGGGGGAGCATGGGGAGCAGCAAAAACAACCCTGATGTGGCCCTCAATGAAATTGAAATTGAAGCACCCCTGCTTTAACCACTACACCAATAGGCTTCATATTTGTTCTTTCAATATTTCAGTTTGTTGACACATTTGTAAGCTCTGGGGATGTAGTTGGACCAGATACACAGTATGCAATTTAGGATGGAAGAAATTCAGTAAAACTCAGATTCACACAGGAAGTATTTTCTGTAGAACTGCCTGGTATTTTTAGGCTACAGTTACTGAGGTGATTCTAGCATTGGTTGCACAGCTGATGCGACCAACCAGGCATGGTGATATTCCAAAGGTACGTCTTTTGAAAGTGAATCATGCTTTTTCATTGTACATATTGAGTTTTATATCTTAGCCTCCATCAACAGCACAGGAAGTTTCATTTTAACAAGCCCTTTAAAATATTGTCCAAGCTGAGGGATTCTGTACAGGTAACATAAATAGGAAGTGCTTGAGAACATGAAGTGGAATTATCTTCCGAAACGATATAAAAAGAGAACAAATAAAGTGAATTGGTATCTAAGGCAGATGAGTCATGCCTAAGTAGACATGAGGAAGAGGGGAAGTGGAAAAGAGAGAAGGCAACAATGGACGCTCTTGTGGATTACAGAGCAACAGCATCATTCTTGTGGAATATATAATGGAGAAGGAGGCCTTGAGTGGAAAGTGGAAGGGAATTCTTAATTATATGTGGCCCTCAGGCTTAAGAAAATGGCTCCGATAGGGGTGTTAGAAACAGCTGCTGAAATCTGCCATACCTGTACAGATGAAACTGGATAATCCTCCATAGATGACATCATCATTGTCTGGTAATATAAATGGACACCTTGTCTGAACCTCCAAACAGTATTGCTTGCAAGGAATTGTGTTGTTGCAATGAGACTGTGTGACTTCAAAATACTGGGAACAGAGCCAGGCTTTGTAGACAGTCTAAAGGAGAAGAAAAAGAAAGACAGGAAGGAAAGTAAAGAATCAGATTAATTGACAAGACAAAGCAGCACCAGTAGAATCGTTCTTATTGTTCTGTTCTTATCGATCACACTTTAAAAGCTTTTCAGTAAAATAAGGCAGGAATCCTTTGGATAACACTTCCTTTTCCAGAAAGTGAAATTCTATGCCTTCTATCATGACTTAGTCTGCCTTTGGCTTACTAACTCCAAGATTTAGAATGTAAAATGCAGAGGACTCATTCATATTCTGTCTGCATGGGAAGAAGATTAGTGAAATTTTTATAATACTTGCACTTTCTACCAATATACTGGCTCAGTATAAACAAAGCAGAGCTTATCCTCATTCCAACAGCCCAAAACTGCTGGTTCATATCAGGATATTGAGAGATGCTTATACTGCCCCAGACCAAGCTTGCTTGAGTGCTTTTATTGTGTAATTACTTCATTGACAGAATTTTACCGAGAAGGCAAGTTAAGCCCTAGCTTTCCATCTATAACCTTCTTGTGTTTTTTCTGCCATTTCTTTAGGCTCTTTTCTTATCACCAAAAAATCCATTATAAAGGAAAAGATTGTGCAATGCCTTGCGATTGATAGCTCTGCCTCCATCTGTGTCAAATTCAAATTGCAATGTCCTTTGTTTCCTTCACAGGGATCTGAATTACCCAGGTTCCTTTTTGCTACCTCTTCCCTACAGTTGGTGTTATATTTCAGAGATCTATTCCAGGCATTTGTCAGCCACACCAAAAAAAGTAATTATTAAGAGACATCAGCTAACCCTCCAAACAAATTGCAACTTTTACCAACTTGCCAAAATTATTAAAATGGTTTGCATCAATAAAGCTGTTCTTTTTATACATGGGCATGGAAGTCATTTGCAAAATTAAGAAACCTGAGAGATTTTTCTGGGAGGCAAATTAGAGGCAGAGAAAGAAACTGAAGGTTCCAGTTAAAGGAACTATGTTACTTCCACATTGCCCTTCCATTCCCCACCCCACCTGCCCTTTTTATTTCCAAACAGTGGACTAGCATATGCTATCTCTATCATCTTGCTAGCACATTTTCTAATAGTAATAACTACCTTGATGAAAAACCCTTTAATCAGAAAATAATATGTCCGTAGGACCAATGCAGTTTGTGCCACACTCTTCCTCTAAATTACATTAGTAATTGCAACAAAGAAACAGTGCTACTAGGTTTTCATGATACAACCCAACCTTGGTCTAAGAGCAGCCAAAGATTTCTGAAAGGCAAATCCTTAGAACCGTATTTATCGGTTGTTTCTGGCAACCGAGCTGTGGCTGACCCGCTTCCCCAGATTTTTGGCCATTAGAAATTCTCTTCATATATTCCAAGGGATTTGGGCAATTAGTATCCTGCCAGTAGGATGCAGAAGATTCCAAAAAGGTTCTGAATTTGACTGCCAAATGATCTGATGGTAGTGAAGGAGGGATTGTTTCCAGCAAACATATTCCAATCCAGATCACCCTTTCTGAAGCCCCACATTTCCACTACTCTTTCTCCAGTTTAAGAGGGCTGTAAATCAAACTGCCTTAAAATGTGGCATCCATAGTGGGGCTAACTAGGAAATATCTGAGTGGAAAGTAAAGAAATGAAGGAGCTAGGATTTTATATAGCAACAGCTGAGAAGAAAAGGCCCACTTGGCTGACTCCTGGTACCTCTCATAAATCCTCTTTGTTTAGACATCCATCTTTTCTGCCCTTTTATTCTGCAAATAATTCCTTGAATGAGTAGATCCAAAGTCCACAATCTACCAAGAAGCATGGAAAATATTTAAACCTTAAAAGATTTAATAAATACCATTGACAGGTAAAACAGTTACCTCTGCCTGTAACAGTTTTACTGTGTAAAGTTAAGTCACAGATATTCACAGAAGGTGGTGCTAGTTACCTCCTAGTTGATCTAGTCTAAAACAGTTAAAAGAATAGAGCACAGGTATTTAGATCTCCTACATAAATATACAACATTTTAATTACTGGAACATCCAAATCAAACAAGGTTATAAATTGTTGCTTATAAACATACCATTGCATTTCATATCCAAGATTCTAATTCCCAATATTTCAAGTCATAGCATTTCTTATGGCTATGTAAATCTGCTCTTTAATAACTAATTTATATATATTGATATAGAAATTCATTGTGTTTGCATTGATTAAAGATTTAGAATGTCCTACACTCTGATTGTGGCCCTATCCAAGTGTTATAGTCCTCCACATGCCTATGGATACAAGGTAAATTGGTGGTGGGAGATGAATTTCCTTTAAAGTGCCCAAAGTACTAGCCTTAAGGCTGTATCTTTTTCCCTTCGATGCAAAAAACTGTGAGAATCCTTTGTGTTCACTTAATATACTCATAACATTCCTGCTACTACCTTTTTATTCCAATGTCCTTGTATACAAATCCAGAGCTATATGTCTGTGTGACAGCCTAATCATCCTTGCATAAACTGATGACTTTCCATATTTTGTTAAATTTTGTCTCTCCTTCGCAAGGTGCTCACTAACACCTGTTGGCTTTTCTGTGTACTGTACCTGTCCATAAAGGCCTATGAAGAGCCAAGAATTGTTAAAAGACTGTGTCAAGCAATGTTTGATTGCGATTTGCTCTTATATTTTATGTTTAGAAAAGCTGCTTGAAGTTTGTTTTTATTTTAAATGGCAGAACATAAAGAATTAAATAAATGAAAACTTTGTGTAATAAAAGATAAAGCACAATTGTAAATGTAAAAAAAAGTAGATTTTAATTAAAAGACAAAATAGTTCACCCAATAAATAGGATAAGGTCCCCTTAAACAGTCTGGAAAAAGATAATTTCTTTTCTAGCATGCTAATAATAACACTTTAAGTATTTTTCTAGGCGTTTCTTCTACCACGAAATATAAAAGAACAATTACAGAACAGGCTTTTCTCTTTTTAGTTGTGGCTTTTCTCAATCAAACAAAGGAAACAAAAAGTAAAGGCTTAGAATTCAGTTGCTTGGAGTTTTCAGGACAATTTCCTAGAAACTCTGTGCCGTTTAAATGGATTTTATTTTTATCTCTTCTAGTTTTTTGTCAGTTAATTTATAGAGCTATCTTCTGTTTATTTATAGTGGCAACAGATAGTAACAAGGTTGCTAGGCAACCATTAAAAAAAACAATATTCCTAAACTGTGATTCCTGACTACTTTCCCTTGGATTTTAAAAGTCGTTATATTTTTTGAAGGGAAAATATTAGCACTAGAAGTATTTGCTTAATGAAAAATTATATGTTGCTGTTATTTTTAATTATTTACACATAAAAGTGAAAGTGCTACTGTTTCATTTTTTGAATAATCTTTTTTTTATTATACAGAGTCCAAAACATAGTTTTATATCCTTTTGATTTTTCAGTGCTTTTAACCTTATTTTATCCTGTAGATAAAATACAAATATGAAATAGACTGTTCCTGTTAAATTAGACTCCACCATAGCAAATAATAGCAAACAAAGCAAAATGCTAAATGAGTTAGAAATCCCACTACCAAATAGGTGATGGTGCTAATTCCACAGTTGCCATCTTCTCAATGTTGGGTTTCTTTACTTGTTTTATTTCTAATATATGAAATTCTTACTGAAATGCTTTGTCATTGCTAAGCAGATACTACTTATTTCAATGTCATCTATAGAAAAACTGGATTTCCTTAATGTCCCTGGTAATTTCAGTGTGAGAAGATAATTCTCATAATTGTGATATTATTACTTGTGCATTTTCACTTTGATATACTTAAATTTCTATACTGAACTATTCTAACTTTCTCCACCCTTTCAGTGTGTTAAACTGCAACTTTTGGCAATCTTCCCATTCTGATCATAACTGATAAACATACCAGGGTTTTTACTTTCTCATTACCGCTTACAATTACTGATTTTTCATAGATTTGCCAGGTTTTTTCTTGATATTTTCTAGATTCAGTTGGTGGGGTCAAAAAGCACAATGCTCATGTGTAAGTGGAAACATAAGAAATAATACACATAACAAAATGGTGGACCTTTGATCATGCCAGCATGACTTTTTCGTGACCATGCCATGTACACATCATCCCTGAACCTGGCAATTCCTAGTTGATGTCAATCTCAGATGATATCAGATGTACATATCGTATGTATGACTTTTGGATTTGGGTCTTTACATGCATTTTGGTTGGGCAATGGGACATGGCCAATGAAAGGGATAAGGAAAGACAGCATGTTGCAGTACTGTACAGTTCCTTCATATACAGTATTCCTGCTAAATACTGATATGAGCTATAACCTAATCTGGAAAGCTTTAAATCAATATTCTTTATAAAATAAAGACAATTTGCTTTAGAAATACAACATCCAGCATTGTTGATAGTTTCAGACATCTAATTACCTTACAGCGGTTAAAAAAACATGCCATGACATTTTTGTTTGTCAGCAGAAATATGGTAGAATTTCATTTAGTAAAAATATAAAAGCCACAATAATAAATAACATAAAAACAAAAATACTAACAGTGGCAAAGGGAAAATAAAAATGCCCCCCTCAGCAATGGAACCAGTTCTCTAGCTCCAGATCTGGCATCATAACCAGTTTTGAGGGCTTGGTTCAGAAGGGATGGGGCTGATTTCACAGGGAAATTACCTGCCAGATTTATAGAATTATGGATTTCTCTCAGCTTCCTGCCTCAGTTGTTCACTCTCTTTGCAACATTGGCATAAAAATTATAAGAAGATACATAACAATATCAGGCATATACATTACGACATATAGAGGCAACCATATGATCAAAGAAAATCACAGTAAAGAACAACATTATTATTAATACATTATAATCAGACAATTAGTAGTGAATTTATTTTTTAAAAGACAATTGTGTTTTGGAAAAAATGTAGAAATACACTGGGAATGAGACAAAACAGGAAGAAAGAAAAAAGAAAAATGAATGGAAGACAAGAAGTAATGGTCAATTATCAA